GGTGTGAGGGCAGCCCCTGCCCCGCCGCGCCCCGCGCCGCTCCGCGCAGCCCCGCGCCGGCTTTTGTTTCTATTTTAGTGTTGGGAAGGACTTTACCGGGAGGCTTCGCTCCTTCGCTCGCTCTCCCTCGCTGCAACAACAACAACAAAAAATAAGGACCTACTGTCTCCCCTCCGCAGACCGGGAGTCCCAGGAGCCGGGAACTGCCTCTCTTTTTTTTTTTTTTTTCTTCTTTTTTATTTTTTTTTTCCAGATCTAGTTCCGCTGTTTTTCGGCTTTTTTTTGTGTGTGCTTTTTTTTGTGTGTGTCTGTGTGTTGTTGATTTTCCTTCCTCTTCCAGAGACTCGAGCGAGTTCGCTGGGCAGGAGAGAAGAAAAAAAAAAACCAAACACAAACCAAACACAAAACAAAAACCAACCCGCGCACATCGGTGAGGAAGAAAGCCAAAGAATATTCGTAAAAACATTTCTACTTTAAGCCATGTGAACAGTGTAATGAATTTTCTTGTTGTGTACTGCATGTATGGCTTTGAAATTTATTTTTTTTTTTTTTTTTTTTGCAAAGGCAATCTCTGTTTTTCTCCTGGATTTGTGGATGCACCGATGAGAGATCCAGCCTTCCCAGGGACTGCCATGGCTTACCACCCCTTCCACGCACCCCGGCCGGCAGACTTCCCCATGTCCGCTTTCCTCGCAGCCGCGCAGCCTTCCTTTTTCCCCGCTCTGGCTCTGCCTCCGGCGGCGCTGGCAAAGCCCATGCCGGACCCCGGGCTGGCCGGGGCGGCCGAGGCCGGGCTGCACGTCTCGGCCCTGGGACACCATCACCAAACCGCCCATCTGCGCTCCCTCAAGAGCCTGGAGCCCGAGGAGGAGGTGGAAGACGACCCGAAAGTAACGCTGGAAGCCAAAGAGCTTTGGGACCAGTTTCACAAGCTGGGCACCGAGATGGTGATCACCAAGTCCGGGAGGTAAGAACCGGCCCCGCGCGGCCCCGCGTAACCCACCCCGCACCTGCGCGGCCGCGGAGCGCCCTCGCCCCTCCGTTTCATCCCGCTTCCCCCGGTGCTCGCCAAATCCGCCCCGATGAATTAACGCGGGGGGTTTCGATCCCTGTTTACCTTTGCATGTTGCATCAGTGGTTTTGGATAGATTGGGGCAAGGAGGGTCCATATCAGTCAATTAATGGAATTGATGCAGTAAGTGAAGGGTTGTTTTTTTCTTTCTTAGGGCAAAGTTCTGGTTTCTGTACTAGTGGTGTAGTGATCTAGGGATCACTAAGAGAAGAATAATTGTGAAGTGTTCAGCTCTCCATTTGCATATATTAAGAATTTATATGGCCCAAATTTTTCTCAGTGTTGTTGATTTCCAGGGAGAGGCTTCCCACTCAGTAGCTATTATGTAAATCTCCCTGGTTAATCACCACCTGACATTTTGCCTTGACAGGGCTGATGCCTTTGCTCAGCTGATGTATGCAACCTGCCCTCTCTGCGTCACTTTGTTTGGACAACTTTTATCACGAACAAAGACACTGCAAGAAGGATGTATACATCCGAAGAGTATAAAGCAGTTATTTTTGGCTATTACACACGACCGAGAATCTGAACAAACAAGAAAGGAGAATAAGTATTAATATGGTTGCAACCTCCAGTAAAGCATGCAGCAAGTCTGTGCTGGCCAGAGAGCTTGATGGCAGGTGTGAAAGGGTCAACCTCCATTGCTAGTCCTCAGTGCTGCTGATGTGCCTTCTTTATACCTTCTCACATCAATGTTTTTTCTTCTGGAATCACTGAGATGCCAACTATCCCTGTTTCAAAAATCTTACCCTCTGCCTGTCATTTTACCCTTCTTTTCCAGCTTAGTGCTTTTTCACAGCTCTTTCTCACAGCTTAACGTTTTTCTCAGCAGTTTGAGCCAAGATTACACAACCATGTTATATCAGAAGCAGTCCTTGAATCGCAGAGAGGTCTGAGAGGATGCCTAGGAGAGAGGTTACACACCAGTGACACTGGGAGACTGACGCTATTGAGTGAGGAAAGCTTCTATGTTTTTAAGCAGATAGGTTGAAATGCAATTCGTCCCTGGCTGTACAATAGCCAGGCTTACGTGAAATTAAAATGGCCAAGGCCTCACCTTTGTCATGGCTAAATTTTAGGATGAAACTCTAAGTAGAGGGCAGAAGTAAAGTCAAAGTACCTCTCAGCTTCCCCTTAAAACATTGACCTCAGTGCACCAAGTATTTCAGAGCTCTCCATTTCCCCACAAATTCACCCCAAAGAATTTCACTGTCACACATTCAAGCCTCCTCTGCCTAGGAGATTACAAGACCATCTGCTCAGGTTTAGACAACACAGTAGTTAAAATGCTGGCATCCTTCCTGCTCTAGCACTTTCATGACTGGTGCCACCAAAGGAGGTGAATAAGAGATAGCACCTCCACGTGTGTGAGGTGAGGGAGGAATGCTGAACACCGACAACATGTTAATGAGGAGGAGAACGTGTAGATGGAGAAGAAGGGAAAGATTTAGCTGGTATAGCAGAATATCAAGTGAGAAGTAAAAAAAAAAAAAAAAAAAAAACCAAAAATAAAAAAAAAAAAAAAAAAAAAAAAAAAAAAGAAAAAAGCCGAAGCTTGTTGGCAATTTGCAGAGATCCTCAGAAAGGAGGGTCAAAACGCGAGGGGAGTGTGATCCTCCACGGTGGTGGTGGTGGGGAAATCACAGCGCACAAACCGGCTATCTTTAGCCTCTGGACAAGCATTTAGGGCGATAAAGGGAAAGTTCATCGTCCAGCGTTGATGATATGGTAATTAGCGGGGACCCGCG